CGCCCCGTCAGGGACCGTTAGCCACGTCACTCGTTTCTGGCCACACTTGGCCCCACTTCCTTCTAGTGGAGTGGATGACCCAACCTTCCGTAACCTTCCCACGTGTCAGAGGTGGGGAAGTGACCAAACTCTCAGACGCGAGGAGACCTGCCCCTGCCGCCCTGCATGCGAGCTTCAACGCGGACGACTTGCCCGCCGCACACCGTTTGTTCCATTTTTACCATTTTTCCGAGCGCCACATTTCCCCCGTATCCATCTTCGCTCAGCGGCGCGGCCGAAACTTTTTCCATCGCACGGCATCTCGTACCTTGTCGTCGCTTGCCGTCCTTGTCACGCCCCAGGGCCCGGGGGCATGCAGATCACCCTTCCTCCTTCCTCCTGCGACTCGCCCCGCTCGCCCCGGGCCGTGTCATCACCGCCACGGGAGGGGAGGGGAGGGGAGGGGAGGGGAGGGGAGGGGGCCGGACGGACAGCAGAGGTCTGCCTTCCCGGTCCGGACGACCCTTCCCTGCAGTTTGCATAGCAACGCCCGCGTCATCCCCGGCGAGAGGGAGAGAGAGAGAGAGGGAGAAAAAAAAGAGGGCCAGTTCGGTCCGCTCCACTTTACTTTACTTAAAAAGCGCGCGCGGCCGCCCTACTCCCCGCCGCGCCGCCGCGCTCCTCGGCCGGATTTCGCGGCCAAAATATGCCAAAAGTTGCGCCTTTTCGCGTTTTTGTTGCGCGCCTCCGCGGCTCCGCAACACCGCTTAAAAGAGAGCAGCTTGATTGAATTCTTCGCGCCGTTCCCTTCGCGGGCCCCGCCTGGCCTGGCTCGGCTCCGCTCCGCTCGGCTCCGCTTGGCTCCGCTTGGCTCCGCTTTCCGCGCGGCGTCGCGTCGTCGCGCAGTTTCAGAAACAATCCGGCAAGTTTGCGCGCGGCACGGCCAGGCACGGCGCGCCAGTGTAGTGGCAGCAGCGTGCGCGCACCGAGAGCACGCACTTGACCGGCAGCAGCAGTGAAGGAGAGAGAGAGAAACAACAACAAAACAACCCTCGGGGCGGCGCGGCAAGGACGCCCCCTCTCTTCCGCGCGCGGGACGCGGACGCGGGTTCGAATACCGGCAGCGCCGCGCCGCGTTGCGTCGTTCTTTCCTTTCTCCTCCCTCCTCTCCCTTTGGCGTCGCCTCGCCCCGTCGACGTCGCGGAGCTTGGGCTCATTTTCCGGCCGCTAAACGGATTTTTCCCCCGTGCAGTCTCCCGCCAAAGTGGCTTGGCGAGGGGGAGCTGCGAGTTACCCGTCGGCCCGCCGCGCCCCGCCGCTCGATGCGAGGAGCGATGGCGCTCGCGATGGCAGATAGGCCGTGTCGCCTGCAGCCAGAAAGGGGTATGGCGGACAGCACAGCGCCGCCGTGTTCCCCACAATCGGCTCCCCGACGACGACACGAAGAGCGTCACCGCCCATAAACGCACGCCCGCCGAGGAGAGCGACGCCCAGTCGGCCCGACAACGACGCGGCGGCACGCGGCGCGGCCGCCTCCGAGACTGCGCGGGAAAGCGCAACAGAATCAACATATAGACGTCCCCGCCGCCCGATTTACAAACTTTCTTCATTCTCGAATACCGGCGAACGGCCCGGCCCGGCCATTGGGCCCGCTGCGTCGCCGCCTCGGTCGCCGCTGTCCTGGTGGTGGTGGGCGAAACCGCTTTCGCACCACGACGCGAGGGGGGGGGGGGGCACCGCCCGCACCGCGTCCTCGCCGCCTTTGCCCGTGGTCATGGTTACGCCGGTCACCGACGCCACCGACGGGGAGGGGCAGCGGAAGGCCGCGGATGCCGTTTGACGTGTGAGGCACCGGCACCCAAAACCTGCCGCCCCGCCCCGCCGCGCCCCGCCCCGCCCCGCCCGCCTGCAGACAATGCGCGGCGCGTGGCTCGGCCGCAGGCTGGGGGCGTGGCGGGGCGTGGCGTGGCGGGGCGGGGCGGGGCGGCGTGGCGCTGGGGGGCGTGTGCGGAAGCCTGATAGCACGGTGAATGCCTGCCGTGTGCTCCACGCCGATACGAAAAGCTGCTGCTGCTGCTGCCGCCACTGCTGCGGCCCCCGAAGGGCCTCCTCCCCGTGGAGCACGCCTGCCCGCGCCAGCCTCCCTCAGGCCCAGCCAGGCCCAGCGGACTCGCATCGGTTCGTAATGATGGGAATAAGCGCTCGCTCCTCGGAGTCCTCGGACCCTCCCGCCGCCCCCGCCCTGCGCAAATAAACTCGCCTTCTTCTCGGCCTCCTTTATCCCGGCAGTGGCGGGGCTGGTGGCCTAACGAACCGGCCGCAGTGTATACAGTGTATCCACCACACAGTGCCGGGCCGCGGGGCCGCGGGGCCCAGACACCGCCTGGCCGGCCAGGCCGCCACAATCGGCCGGCGTGACGCGCCGCCACGCTGCCGCCCCGTCGAGGCCGTGCTTCGTGAGCCCGGGGGAGATGAGTTGCTGCACTGCACGCGCACAACAGAGGCGGCGTAATTACAACCACGGCGGCCACACCGGCCCGGGGAGGCAGGGGGCTCAAATCCGCGGCACAGGCCGCGACAGGGAGGCCGACTCGGCCCAGGCATGGCCCAGCCGCAGCGCACGCAGTGGCCGGTTGGCGCCGTGCTGGTCCAGGCCGGCCGACGGAACAGCAGGTCCTGGCTTTGCGGCCGCCTGGTTGCCAGCCCTGCCTGACTGCCTGGCCTGGCTGGCAGGGCTGGCGGCAGCGCACCGCCTGCTAAATATTTCAGCACGCCAGACAAAGCCAGGCGGCTGGCGCCGCAAGGCTGCGCTGCCTGCGCGGGCTACGCTGCTATGCTCGGTCTAGAGAGGCTCGCATAGAGTCATTCCCTCCGGGCCGCTTGTATGGCACAAACGCGGCGGGGCGGGGCGGGGGGGCTCCTGCACTGCACAAGTCGGAGAGCAGCCACACCCCGGGGGTGAGTCCTTTTCATCACTCCGCGGCGCGGGGCAGGGCGGGGCGTAAGGCGGGGAAGGGGAGGGATGCACAGTGGACCGAAAGCCCCGGCCGCGCGACGCTGCGCGACCACTTGCATGCACGGCTGCCGACGGCTGCCCGCGCGGCTGTCTCGCTGCCTCCACCTCCGCCTCGGCCTCGGCGGCTCCGTGGTGGGGGAGAGAGAGGCCGGTGAGGTGACAGGCTCCAGCAGTGACGGCCTACTTGGAAACGTACACCCTCTTCCTCCCTCCCTTCCCACACAAGCACCCCCTAAACTCCTCCGCGGACAAGCGACAAGCAGCGGCCGCGTTTTGGGCGCCACTGGAGCGACGTGGCGACGCGGCGCGGTGCGCTGCCACCGAGGCTGCCATGGCAGTGTAGCCACCTCGCAGACTACTTGGCCCCCACGGGCATCTCTCACTAATGACGAGGGGGAGGCGGGGCTGGCACGTACGGCGTGTCGATTCCCCGCGCACACAGACACACACCTACACACACACACACAAGGAGGGCACCGTGTCGCGCCAAAACGCAAGCGGGGGGCGGGGCGGCGGAGGCAGGAAGACTGCGTGAGGGAAAAGCGCCGGCAGCGGCGGGCCCCGCCTCGCCCCGCCACTAAGAGGGGTCAGATTGAAGGAAATGACCTCCGAGGGTGGCGGGGCGGGGCGGGGCGGGCCACGGCTCTAATAGGGGTTTAGGTGAAGGCAAGCGGACGGGCCGGGCGTGTCCAGCGGGGTCCTCTCTCCCCCCCCTCTCTCTCGGCCGCACCTTCCGGCACCCTCGCACCTCCGAGTGCGGAATGAGTAAAGGGGGGCCGCTGGCCACGAGGCCCACCAGGCCACCCCGGCCACCCCGGCCACCGCGGCCACCGCGACGCTGTTATGCCCGTGTAATATTTGGGCCGACAAATCCCCGCGGGATTTAATGTTCGCGTTTTCGCGTTTTTCAGCGGGGCTGAAGCCGGCTGAAGCCGGTGGGTGGTATAGCGGGGCGAAAGCTCGGCGTGTGCTCGGCCCTCGGCTCGGCCCTGTTCCAGCGCTTCCACCGGTTCGGCGGCCCGAAGGCCCGAACACGGCAGGTCGAACAAGTTCGAACCAAGGCAACTTCGAGAGGCGCTGCGCTATGCTTCGACATTATGCTGACTGCCAAAAATTTTGGCTGTCACTTCAAGACTATTTCAAGGCAAATTTTCATTATCAAACCGAAGTTGATGAGAATGTTGTCACGCCTACAACAGGTTTGACGAAAGTATCATCAGTTTGTGTGGTGAAATTGCCATCATCAGAATGTGACGAAAAAGCCATCCACTATTTTCTCACAAAGTGACAATATTTTTACATTCGCCGTGTCCGCCACGGTCAAAACGCAGCGGCCGGCAGGTGGTGGGCCGCGGCGGGCGACAGTAACAAGTGGCGTGCGAAAAATAAGCTGGCAAACAAAAATAAAAAGCCCAACAACAACAAGGAAAAAAGCTCGGCGGGGTTGTACGGGACGGGCGCCACGCCGCGGGCTTCGGGGCGCTTCGGGGGCAACGGCAACGGCAGACGGCGGGCAATATTTAGTACGATGATTCAGGAGAAAGGGGGACGGGGCGGCGGGCGGCTATAATAAAAAGTACACACTTGCACTCGCGGAGACGTTCGGCGGGGCGCACATTCAGAACGCCCTGCCTTTGAACTGGGTAAGCACAAGTGGAAGAAAAAAAAATGAGCGAAAAGTAAATTGGGCGGTAGGTACTCCCGAGCGCAAAGATAAAGACGGAGGGGAAGGGAATAACTGACAAAAAGACAGAAAAAAAGGTGACCATAAAAAGACAGGAAGAAAAAAAAACAGCAAAAAGCAAACGAACGGATGAATGCATTTTGACGTCACTCGCCGGGCTCGAACGCCAATGGCACCTACATTATTTTTCATCGCCTGCATCACGCATACACTCGTCATCCCGCCTCAACGGCCGCGCCGTTCGGAGCGACACGAGGACTTCACAGAGACACAGACACAGAGAGAGCAAAACGAAAAGCTACGAAGGAGTGTCGTACTCACCATGAAGGTAATGCCGATCCATGTCTAAGGGTTTGGCATGCACACACAGAACAACAACTTTAGACAGAGACAGACAGAGAGGGACGGAACACACGCACGCCGGCGTCGCCACCGTCGCCCGCGGCCAGACCCAGCATGAAAGGGGCGTCGCATTCCCACTCCCGGAAAAAACACCATCGGGGCGCTGCGAAATTCGAGGGAATTCCGTGGCGTGGCGTGGCGTGGCGTGCCACCCACACCGCGGGGGAAGGCACGCGGAAGCCGCGCGTCGGTGGACGCGGCGAACGAGACCGAGCGGCGAAAAAGAGAGGGAAAAGAGGAAACGAACAAAACGCAAATCAAAGTGTCCGGCGTCCCGGCGAGTGCAGCCCCTCCATTAATTTACATGCCGAGACTTCTCATCAAGGCGAAAATTGCCCTTTGGTCGCTTGGCTCGCTTTGGTCGCTTTGCTCTCAAACCGCTGTCACGGCCATTCTAATGAGCCGCCGGACAGATGAGCGCGCAGCGCGCCGGCCGGACCGTCGCTACCTCGGCTCGGACAGCACGTCGCTCTGTCTCTCTCGCACCCATAGCGACGGCGCGCTCCTCGGAGTCAACCTGCAGGGCCTCGGTGCGGTCTGCGTTCATTTATAAATCAGATTTACGAGCCAATAACTCGCACGTCACGTGACACCTGCGGGGCCTGCGGGGCCCCTCGTCGCGCGAGCACCGCGAGCACCGCGAGCCACGCGGCGTTTACAGGCGACACGGCCGGGGACTTTACAGCGCGCACAATGGACGATTGGAGGTGCGCTGGCTCTCTCACACTTACACACACACACAGTCGCTCACACACAGGCCGCGCGCTGTGCTCCGCTCGGCGGCACACAACAGAAAAAGATATGCCCCTTGGACGGGGCCCAAATGCAAGACCGTCGCGCCGCGGCGTGGCGTGGCGTGGCGGGGCGCGGCGGGGCGCGGCGTGGCGGGGCGGCGGGGAGGTCGACGGCACGGTTGCACCTGCACGCCCAGCAGAGCTCGCCCAGCAGCAGCGCTGCGCCGCCGCGCCTCTTAGCGCCTTCCAGTACGGGCCCTACTCACTAACTCATTCTCACACGCACACACACACACACTCACACAGCAGCGCCCAGCAGCGCTCCGTCACTATCACTTGACCCGGTGCCCCGTCTGCGGGCCGGCAGTGTATATGCGCCCCCTTCCCCTCCCTTCCCCGGCCTGGCCCCGCCCCTGGCGCCGCCCCGTTTAAACGAGCCACCTGTCGCCTGGAAGCGCCGCGTGCGCAGCGCGGAGCGGCAACACGCGGCAACACGCGGGCCGCCGGCAAAGCGCGACACGGCGCGCCAACACGCGGCAGCACGCGGCTTGCGGCTAAAAATACAGCCCACTTCGCGGCACTTGTAGCCATGCGGCACCGGCCGCACCGGCGGCACTCCGTCAGGACGCGGCACGGCACGTCGCAGCGACACGCCGACACGCCGCAGAGCACGTCGCCGACGTCGCCGACGTGCTGGAGACAGCCCTAGAGACTCACCCGGGCAGTGAGGACCCGTGGGAACCCAGGGGCCAGGGAACCCGGACCGGTCGGTGGCGGGTTGGTGGATGGTGGCGGAGGCGGTGATGGTGGCGGTGGCGGTGACGGTGGTGTGGAGGTGGGCCGGTAGCGGAGCGGGTGACGGAGTGGGTGTCGGTGTTGGTAGAGGGACAACACAGGAGTAGTGAAGCTCTGCTTGGTCGCCCGACAACTGCCGGGACAGGCGGGACGAACGGGCCGAGGCGGCAGGACGTCGCCGCTACGCCGCTACGCCGCTACGCCACGCCACGCGTCTGCGCTCACGGCACTTCGGCCCCACCCGGTTCGGTTCGCGGCATGCGAGCCGAGCCCGGCCCAGCCGAGCCGAGCGTCGAGTCGGCGGCCGAAGCGCGGAGCCGAGCGGACGCCGGTTCGCGGCGCGGGTGGGGGGCGTCCGTGTGGCCGAGCCACGCCGCCGCGCCGCCGCGCCGCGACGCGAGGCACCGGGGATGCCGGGGATGCACGCCGCACGGCCACGGCCCGGGCTGGGGACCAGCGAAGGGTGCGCCCGCCTGGCCAGCCTCTTGCCTCCCACGAAGGCACGCGACAGGGGCGCACCAGGGGCGTACCGGGGGGGAGGGCGTTCTGCTTGGATGCTAGCGCCACTCGAAAGCCGTCACGTTCGCCACTGGTTTACATAACGCCCCAAGTTGGAGGTCGTTCCCGTCGTTATACCGGCCGGCCGCACCTTCAGAGAGCCGCCACGCCACTGGATGGGCCATGGAGGAGCCCCAGCCCCAGGTGGACCCTCATCGACAGCCCGCCTTTACGATCCGAGCAGACCCGCAACACCGCCATCAGCCTCAGGCACTTCGACGAGGAAGTCCGCCCCATCGGCGGTCTGCGGTCACACTCACACACACTCGCACGCAAGCACCCCGCCAAACGGACTCCGGTACACGCACAGCCAGACAGTGACGGCGACGTGCTAATCTCCCCGCCGTCGCCTCCTTACGTCACTGCTGGCTGGCTGCTGGCGCTGTGCTCGCTGTGCTGGCGTAGGTCGGGACCGTGCTCGTGCTCGGGGCGCTCGGGGTCGAAGGCAAGACGCGCGGCGCGGCGCCGCCCCGCCCGGCAGCCAGCCAGCGCTACGGCACACACGGCAAAGAAAACAATCCGGCCACCGTTCTGAATGGGTCCAGGGCGGCGGCGGCGGCGGGTGGCGGGGCGCGAGGGGTGCTCGGCGTCTTCGCCACCGCCGTCGTCATCGTCGTCATCCTAGGGTCGCCGCGCCCCCGCCACTCGACGGCATGATGAGGGGGTGGAGCCAGGGAGGAACGGGGTGAAGAGGACACGAGGGCCGCGCGCATCCAGCTAGCTCGAGCTGGCCGGGCCGGGACGGCCGGGACCCTCTCTCTCCCTCTCTCGACTCGGTTCCAAGTTGTCGTGGACCCCGTCTGCTACCCCCTTCCCCCTTGCGACTCAAGCGAGCAATAAATCATCATTCACCTGCCTCGCCTGCTTCGCCTTCGCCCGCTTCCGGGAGCATCATGGCCGGAGCGTGGCGGGGAAGTCCACCAGAAGAGTAATTAGGACAAGAACAGCCAAGGAAAAGAAAAAAAGAGAGGGCCTTACAAGTGGGGCGAAAAGAACTGACCCTCTGCACCAGTTGTTTTTCTTGTCTCTTTTTCTTTCTTTTTTCTCTGCCCGCTTCTGTTCATATTTCAAGCCCGCAGACAGTTATGTATGGTGGGGATGCCCGCGTGAATTTGTTTTTATGGCCGCACCCACACGCGCGCCATTGCGCCCACGGTCCCTCCCCATCGGCTCCCGCGCAAAGCGGCGAAGCTCACCTGTCCAGTGGAAGTGGAGTAGCGAGACCGCCTCTGGAGCAAACAAACGAAAACAGACATTAGCCGGGTACATTTCCATCTACCAATTCCATCCACTTTTAATGCAAATGCGGAGCATGCTTTCAACTTTTGCACGGTAAATTAGAGTGGCGTGTTTCCCCGAACAGAGCCTCCATTTCCACCAGGGAATGCACCCCGTGCACCTGGAGTGGTTGGGCGGAGGGGAGGGGTAGGGGGGAGGGGAGAGGAAGGCATGCATGTGAATCAAATCAGACTGGGAGCAATATCTCCGTGCAGCATGGCCTGGCGAGCCTAGCGCCGTGTACCTTCTGGGGACCCCTGGGAGCCCCTCCCTGTCCTGGGGAACAGGGGCTCCCCTCCCCGGGGCTCCCTCACTCGGCGAGCCCCCCTCTGGGCCTGCCTCTGGGCCCGCCTCTGGGCCCCCACAACACACGCCCGACCGGGCCCCAACCAGCCAAACACAATCCCGGCCGCCTGTCTCATATCGCCGAGGTGATTTGATTCAGTGCGACTCGACTGACTAAAGTGCAGCGGGCGCCTGTCACTCCCCCAGCGAGCGGCGCGGCACTGCGCCGAAAGCCCCGAGCCCGCGGCCGGGCCGAGCCGGGCCGAGTACACCGCCACGAAAGGCGGAACCTTGAGCGGAACGCGGAACGAGTCCGCGGCAAATCCGTCGGCGTCCCTGCAGCCTCCCGTCCCGGACTCGGCCATCGCGTGGGCGGGAAGCGAAACAGGATCAAATCGCACGGCGGCAGTGCACGCCACGCCTCACCCAGAGGCTTAGGGGAGTTCGAGCCGTCTACAAGTCGCGACTCGAGCTGCACGGCACGCCGCGCCACGCCACGCCACGCCAATCAGAATCAAGCGTCCGAGTCCCTCGCGTCGGGTACTGCAGCAGAACCCGGCAGAACCGCTCGACGTGACGTGTGTGTGTTCCTCGTGTGTGTGTGAGTGTGTGTGCGCGCGCGACAAGTTTGCCGTCTTGTGTGTGGCTCGACCTCAGCGCGGCCCAACTTCCGGCAATATACTGGATGTAACAAAACCTCGGCAGCGAACAGAGACCGGGGTAAGTCGTGGGGCTGGCGGCGTGGCTGGCGGCGTGGCTGGCTTCTCGAGGGCTGTCGTCTCAAGGTGGCGGTGGTCGCGGCGGCGGGGGAGGCGGGGCAAGGGGCGGGGCGGGGGTAGTGGCGCGCCCCGTCGCCCCGTCCCCGCCCCAATCCTTCTTGTTCCGCCCGCTGCCCCCGCAACCCGCAGCGCTTCCGGACGATGACGAAATTACTTTCCTGTCGTATCCAACAAGTCTACCGCTCTTCCTGCCCCCCTGCCCCCGTCCTGCAAGTTTAGCCTGCTCGCCGCGTCGCCGCGTTCTCCAAAGTGCACAAAGCAGAGGCTCCAGGTGAGGCGGGGCGTTGCTGCCCCCTCCCCCTTCCCCTCGGCCGGGCCACGGCGCGAGGCGCGGCGTGCTTGTTGGTCCTCGGCGCGGTGGCGCGGCGCCAACGACGACCCAGACGACATGCGGTTTGCGGTTCGACCCTGCTCCCCGCTCCGCTCCGTGCTGCTCGTCGCGCTGCTCGTCGCGGTGCTCCCCGCCCCGCCCCGTCCCCTCGCCGCCGCCGCGCAAAGCGCATCACGCGTACGTCTCCGACGAACGGAGGGATTACATTCTGATTTATCGCGCAGCTCCTCCTCCTCTCCTCGATCGAGTCCACCGTCTTGTTAGAGGGCCGCGGTGGCGGTGGACCGCCCCTCGCGGCCACCGCGAGGACGCCGAGGACGACGAGACCGCCACCACCACTGGCAGCGGCATATCATCCCGCAGTCCATGTTGACGCAGCAGACGGTCGCACAACGCATCTCGCCAACGCAAACACGCAGACACGCTGCCTCACACATAAATGGCGCTCCCCTTTTCCGGGCGGGCTCGCGGCCTGGTTGGCGGACTGGTTGGCGGACTGGGGGAGCGAAGAGGAGCAGCCTCTGGCATTACCGCCCTCCACTCCCCCTCACCCTTGGCGAGGACGGCGACGACGCCATGGCCGCGGAATGCCGACAGTTCAATCACTCGGTGCCACGTCGTCGCCGTGTCGCCGCACTGACGCCGCGCCGCGCTCGCGTCACTCGCGGAGAGAGAGAAAGAGAGAGCTCACGCCCAATTACAGTCCCGGCAGATTCTTGTTGTCGTTCAGCGCGAATGAATGGAGTGTCAAAGCAGGTCTTCTTGAGCGAGCGGAGCGTCACCAAGCAAGGAAGTCGACCATGGGGTGGGGGGAGCAGGGAGGGGGGAGGCTGGTTCGTGACGGGGCGCGCGGCGGCGTCCCGGGAGAGCCGCTGCAGATCTGAGATCAGGCTGATACTACCAGCCATCATTGAAAACGAAACTGAGAATCCGCCTCACTTTATATTAATGGTGGCCTTTATTTGCGAAGTGACAGGAATTTCAATGGGGGGAACGATGTGGCTGCCGAGCCGCAGCGAACAGCAGCAGTAGACGCGGTGCGGCGGGGCGCGGTGCGGCGGGGCGCGGCGGCTCCCTCGCCACAGGGAAGGGGGTGGGAGGGGGAAATAAAGATCATCAAGACCGTTCAATGGATGCTTCGGGCAACAAACTGTTTACTCGGCCAAGTGGAGTTGACGTAACCCGACGAATCCCGAATCCAGCCACCGCCAAATCTTCAAGACGACGGCGTCCCGAAAAACCCGGCAGTCTGCCTCGGGCCTCCCTGCGGCCTCCGGCAGCGGTGAGGACTCGGCCCGGGACCGAGGACGCCGAGGCAAAGCGGTGCTCAAGGAAAGTCCCTTTATTGCGTCCCCCTTCCGGCAATGTCTCCTCTGTGGCTCTCTCTCTCTCTCTCTCTCTCTCTCTCTCTCTCTCTCTCTCTCTCTCTCTCTCTCTCTCTCTCTCTCTCTCTCTCTCTCTCTCTCTTCCCCCCCTTCCCCTCGCACGACACACACAAACACTCCGCTCCTACCTTGACAGCACACTCATGGTCCGATCGAAACATTCCGTCAACGTTGGAATGGCTCTGCGGCAATAAAGCCTAGCAGGGGCCCCGCCCGCCGGCCGCCACCCCTCCCCCGCACGCCCCCTCCGTCCGTGGGCCCTCCCAGCCCCTCCGTGGCCCTCCCAGCCCCTCCGTGGCCCTCCCAGCCCCTCCGTGGCCCTCCCAGCCCCTCCGTGGGGTCCAGCGCACGGCGCCCGGCAGGTAGGCTACGAGCCCGCACGCAGCACGTGTGCGTCCGGCGGGCCTGCCTACCCCGCATTCATTACCATTGCCATTACGGGCTAGACCACACAAGCTCGCCTGCACCGCAAAACGAGACGTGGCCGTCCCCTGCCGCCCTCTCCACGAAGAGAGTCCCCGCCCCCGGCATGACGCGGTCCTGGTC